TCTTTTCTTGCTGTCCATCTTTCCTTAAATGTGCAAGACTCTCCTCCAGGCAAGATGCTCCAAAACTTAACAGGGTGGTGGTGGGGAATGAAAACCATCTTAAATTTGTGTACTTGGCAAAGTATGATGAGTAATGGAGAAGAAGACTTCACAAACATTCAAATGTGATGCAATAAAAATGTATAGGCTGCTGAAATCTAGAGGAAACGTCTTCTGAAGGACACCATGTTCTCTTCTTCTTCTTGGTGGTGGTGGTGGTGATGACGAAGAAGGTTGTGCTCCCAGTTCAAAGCGGTGTTGTCCCAGTCCACGAGACTAAAGGATGCCCACACACACGTCCCAGTCACTGGGAGGACTACTTACGGCTCCACAGAGACCTTTTATCAAGCCGGAGAGGCAGAAAAGTTATGCCGTCGCCTGACATGAGAAAGCCCCCAAGAAAACTCTGAGCGGATCCTGTCCTTCCATCTTCCTTCATGGGTGGAAAACAGAGAGCAACTTGGTCGTTTTTAGATTATGAAGGCCAGAGACTTTTTGGGACACTGGATCAGGTAAAGCAAGCCAACGGAGATCAAATCGGGTACTTTCAGCTCCTTCCGTCAGCCAACGTACGAACATAACATGGTGGCGTCTTTGTTATATATAAAAGGGATGCCTTTCCTTCCCGCTCCCTCCTGAGTCAAGCTCTGCTTTTTAGGCTTGCTTGCCTAATCAGTGTCCAACGTCTTGCCAAATGAGTCGTACATCCTGCAGCTGAACCGAACTTTCTCATGCATTGGCCTCAGGGAAGACTTCTGTCCACCCTTTACTTCTTTAGCCCCCCACGATGGAGGAAGGGAGATTTAGGAGGGAAGGGGCTTACAGAGAGGGTTAAAGCTCACTTTCCTGTCTGATCCCTTGTCTCCACATTTACTGTATATTCTACGCGTCCCATCGGCACCTTCTTTCATTTTTTGTCGGAGGTGCTGTAAAGGAGTTTGAAAATTAATTCCCCGACTTTGCCTGGAAACCGCATGAGAACAGAGCCCCAGAGCTAACCGACCACGGGCCACTTCATTCCTGCTAGGAAGGTGTTTGTTTGACCTAGGCAGACAACCCTGTCACTGAGCAGGAGAGAGAGAAATGGGTCTCTCTTTTCATATCACTTTCCCCACAAAACCCTCCTATTTGTGTAATGGGGTAAGAGGACACCCAGAATAGTAAGTCAACAACAGTGCAATATGGCGCCCGTCACCCTCCACAAGGGACGGCTAAGGGCAAGGTTTCAACTCCGTCTGGCCAGCGACGGGAGTTTGGACTTCCTTTGTGCACCTGTTATGGGATAGGGGCCACAAAGTTGCCTCCAGAACTTATAGGGACCCTAAACGAAACCCATTTAGGATTTCCTGTAAGTTCTGGATGCAACTCAAGGTAGGATATTTAAAGAGGAATTTAAATACCACCACCACCACCTCCAGGGAGTTTCCATCGCCAAGCAGGGATTCAAACCAAGGTCTTTTGAGTCCTAGTTAGACATGGGTTACAGTGGTGCCTCGCTAGACAGTTACCCCGCATGACAGTTTTTTCGCTAGACATTGACTTTTTGCGATCGCTATAGCGATTCACAAAACAGTGATTCCTACGGGGGAATTTCGCTGGACAATGTTTGGTCCCTGCTTCGCAAACTGATTTTCACTAGACAACTATTTTGACAGCTCCCTCCACGCTCACAAAATGGGTGTTTTTGGGACCTAAGCTTTGCAAGACAGCTATTTAAACAGCTGATCGGTGGTTCACAAAGCAGCTTTCCTACGGCCGATCTTCGCTAGACAACGATGATTCTTCCCCATTGGAACGCATTAAACAGGTTTCAATGCATTCCAATGGGGAAATGCGTTTCACTAGACGATGATTTCGCTAAAAAGCGATTTCAGTGGAAAGGATTATCATCGTCTAGCGAGGCACTACTGTATTCGTATCCCTGGGGATACGAATACGAATCACGGCATCACCGGGGCCCATTCCCTCTCCCCAGAACCGGCCAGTCCACTTACCTTTCGCCCCGCTGTGGTTGCCCCTGGCCCGTTTTTCCCCACCTCCCTGTATAGCCAACCATTTGGCGATATTTTCAAATCTACCCATAAGACCAGGAAGCACACAATCTCCAAATATACATAAGCAGTAAACACAGTGTCAAGAAAACCAAACTGTACATCCAGAGAGCTGCTACGCGGGTAGCAACCCAATGCGGCCGTGGGTTTTCCAGTCTATTAAAGACTTGACACATTTATTACAGCTTCGCGATGAATCTGATGAAGTAGACTTGAGTCCACAAAAGTTTACGCTGCAATATATATATTTTTTAATCCTGAAAGTGTTCGTTGGTTTTTCACTCTGAGTTCAGTTTATTAAGGTTTGTCAGACAGAAGCAGGGGGTGAAAATAAATCTGCTGCCCCAAGGATGCTGTCGATGGAGAAACATCCTTGGACTAACTTCTCCATAAGCAAGGCTAGAATTCAATTTGGGGCAAGTTCCACCCCAAGTTAACCTTGCTTTTTCGTTTTTGCAAGAAATAAAAGTCACACACCGTTTTTTGCACTCCTCCACTCATGTTGCTACAGGGACACAACACATATTCTGGCCCAACTTATTTGGAAGTTAGCCACACTGTTTTTAAATTTTTTTTTTTTAAATCCTAGATCAGTGTTCTTGGGACAGAGGGTTTTTGTTGTTGATTTCCAGAGAAGGATCCTGTCCTGAGTTTTTGGCAATATTTCAGAGGCTCTGAGATTCCTCGTTTTGGTGGCTGAATGGCATGTGTTCTCCAAAATGGAAGGGGTCACCTGGAAGCCTCGAGAGCTTCATGACAGAAGTCAGGTTTAATTTCAAAAAAACAAAAACACAACACTGCCACTGATGACATCATCCACCTTATATGGCCTAAGTTACTGCAATAGGCTTTCAGCCCAAGCCCACATGTCTGGAGTACAGCTTCGAGGGAGAGAGTAACACGCATGTCTGCTCAGAATACGGCATCTAAGGGCATGAGCTGCAGTCCACTAAATACGAGGAAGAATTTCGTCTGATCCTGATGGAAAGGGTCACGTCGTTCGGCGTGAGCTCGCTGGAGGCGACCTTTCTGCGCATGGAGGAACAGTTCCAGCCCATCTCCAAAAAAGCCCAGCTTGGGCATGGAGTGGAAGTCAAAGTGGTTCATAATCCCTCGTGCGTCGTGCAAGTGCCAGAAAACAGCTCGCACCAGACTGCGCCACAAGTGGTCCAACATGTGAGCGATTTCTGTGTCGAATCGTATCTTTAAATCAAATCACACTTTCCGGTCCTAAACGGCTCATTCTCGTTCTGGACCATGAAGACTAACATGGCTACAACTCTGGAAACGTTTGGAGCCTTGCCTTGTCACTTACATCCATGTGATTCTAAACACAGGGCCACCTTTCCCTGCAAGAGTGTTTATGCGCACACCCTAACTACCCCTGTCGTTATGGTGTTTACAAACACAGAGAGAGTATTATGTGTATGTGCAAAGATACACGTGGGGTGCGTCCACAAGACAGGAGCGTCACTGTTCTCGCTTGCAACTCCAGGGGTTTTAAATTTCTTTTCTGAAGGGACTGCATTCGAAGCATAGCTTGCAAAGGAACTACAATTCCCAGAATTCCAAGGGCCACGCTGGCCGTGGAGGGGAGTCCCGTGTTATCATTCCCCCCCCCAAAAAAAAGTAGCGTTAGAAACTTCTGAAGCGTGTCCACCTATCTCAAATCTCTTCAAACGAAGGTCGCCGTTAAACGGGGGAAAGGAAAGCACAGAAAGACGTGTTTACATCCAGACACGCACCTCCTCCTGCATTCCAACGGTAGGGGTTGCAGAAGAGCAGACACGTGTTTCCGCTGCCCCAGCCCGTCCCCGTCTTCCCGTGCCAAAGGCCAAAGCGCCCTGACGCCTCTCCACGGCTAGGGGGCGGGCGCCGCCGGCGTTCACACGACCCACCCTTCCCTCTCCTCCCTTTCTGCCAGGATCGGTGTTTTGGATGGGGGTGGGGAAGGGGGCGGGAAGTGTGGCTCGTGTGTATTTGCTCCCCCCCCACCAGGTCAACCCGGAAGGCCGAAACAACAACAAAACGCAGCACCCAACCCGAGTTGTGTCCATGCCACCCCCACCCCCACCCCACCCC